GAAAATAAAACCGATGGTGAGAGACAGGACCCATGCCACCAAATTGGTGATGATTACTACCTCAGCAAGGATGAATGAACTCTTATGATGGTGATCGATGAACAAAATCTACCTAAATTGCTCTAAAAACTCTCTTACACTACTAAAACTAAAAATGGAAAATAATATGAAAAACGAAATGGAAGAGAAAGGGTCTTTATTGCCTTGTATAAGCCCAAACATGTAGACCTCTACGTCGTATCACATCGTGGGCCCATACTTAGTTGCCAAGCCCGTAATGAAGCGACCCATCACAGCCCACCATATATGCATGCTACTTAGATAATGAGATGGGCTAAATCCTTGCAAAATACCTCGTCCTTTGACACCTCCTTCTACCACATGCCCATACTAGGACGATAGGTCTCTCCTTTAAAAGCATAAATTGCGAGGCAATATGTAATGACGACCTTACCTAGACTTGTAATTGACGTAGACGAGACACAGGAAAGGATCTCCCGATTACCTCGAATGTAACACATCCCTCGTATATGCCCATATGCATGTAGAGTTATTCTTTATAATCATGTCATGACTTGATGGTCAAGGACGAGCAAACAAATACGCACCATTAAAGAACACCAATGAGAGGAACCCGATCGATCGGAGCTAGTGAGGCCTCCATCAATCGAAAAAAAAAACATATAATACATCTAATAAATAAGATATACTTTTAAAACTATACTTTTATGAATAATCACTCCATCATACTTTTTCAATGATGATGTGTCAATATTAAACATTGTTATCCTCTTAAATGATAGAAATGATAGCAAAGGTTATTGGAAAAAAAAAAAATCATTTTGCTCCTTATTCTATGCAATTTGATGAGTCTTTTTACTTTATAAATAGCTAAAAGACTTAAATTTAAAGATTCTAAATCTTTCTTTTTGTTATTATTATTCATTTTCTTCCTCATACTTGCATCATTGCCTTTTCTAACTAATTTTCCTCTTCCTATACCGATTTCATCATCAAAAGATCTTCCAACCTAACAAGAGGGATTTTTTTATACATATTTTATCTAGCATGACCACCATTCATCAATAGGCGTTATCATTCTATCAACATCCATTAAAGAGTCATATTATCTTATTTGATTATAAGGTATATTTTTGGATTAGCTTGCATGTCAATTCAAATTAAATTTCATTTTCAAATAACATTAAGAATTTATTTCTCACATCCACTGGATGTATTATAAAAAAAAATTCTTCTAAATATTAATTTTATGATTTGAATATAAAAAGTGAATGAAGAAGGTATATCTAGCTCCTTAACCGTAGACCAACCTCTTTGAGATTAACTATCAATTAGCAGTAGAAAAAAAAAAACATGTATAACAAGTGTTGGGATATATGAAATTAATTATATAACATGTTTGGCATGAGTTGGGACATATAAAAATAATTATATTGCGATTTTGAATTTATTTCTAATGAGAACAAAGACATGGTTTTTGGCAACAACCTTCTGCTTATCTTTTGGGATGGGATTTTATTAAACAATACTCTAAGGTACCAAATCCCAACTATACAATACCCAACATAGCCTCATCATTTTCCATATATGTTGATTACGAGTTGAGTTAATTCAATTTTATACTCCATTACTCCTACAAAATACTTCATATGTAGTACTCTGTCTTCCACTTCTTTTTTATCCAAAACGCTTAATGGACCTCAAGTTTAATTACATGCATGTAACGCGGCTGCTAGTTTCTTTTTCCAAACCCTAAAACGTATATATTTCATTTTCTTTCAGGATTAATTAATTTAAACTTGTATAGAAGTAGAAATCCCAAATTAAATTTTAAATCGATAGAGCATTCTCTTAGAACCTTCTAGTATTGTTTAATCTGTGGGAGCTATATACATGAACGATAACTTTCTGCTTAAGTACAGAAGAGACAATTAAGGTGAAGAAACTACTCCCTTAAGTTTCTAAGTTGACCGAGACTGATCATATGTAATTAAGAAAGGAGATTCAAGGCCTACACGTACGGGTTCTATTCCAATATATGCTTTCACGTGTATATTTCCGGGAAAAAATATCACTTTCAAAGTTAGCCAACTGGTATATTTTTAATTAATGGTCAGTTGTGCAAGCATGCATTTTTTTATTTTTTTTCCTTTCTAGTTTATTCATTACGGCCTTCCAAAAGAAAATTTACACGTTTTGTTTCGTTCACGGTACTCTGGCTAATGATTTGTGCACTTCTCCTATACAGACAAGTAACCACCAAATACGTTGTAAGCAATCCTGATACAATCTTATTTTGATGCTACGTGTTCTTGAAGGTGCCTTTTTTGTTAATATTTTATTGACAAATCCTATTAATGTATACGTATTTGAAAATGTGATATTTTATTGATACGCACGTTTTGATAAAAATCTATGTAATATTCTATTTTGATAAAATTCACAATAAGACTGAAAAACGTGTGTGCGTGTATGTATATATACACACTATTTTGATTCGATATTAAGGAGTGTTCTTGAATAATCAAGATTAAGTTTTTTTTTTTTTTTAATATCTTGAGGACATATTTTTTTTCATATATATCGGTTTAATATATCTATAAAAATATTAATTTTTTAAAATATTCTTCTCAATATTCCAACTTATAAAAGAAGAGCAAATTTTTAGCCACCAAACTAGCTTCTTGTCACATTTAATATATTTATAAATTTTTTTTTCTAAATACTGGTTTCAATATTAATCCAACTCATGAGTCAAAGATAAAAACAAATTTTTTTAGCCACCAAACTAACTTTTTGTCATATATATATAAAAGCTAATTAATCGTTTTCTAACATAACAATCTATCAAAATTTCTCAACAATTACCATAAAACTTATAATAAACTGGAAAGACTATTATTTGAAATTGACATTTCAAAATCAGTAAAGTTCAACTTTGATGTTAAGAGCTTATCAAATCGAGTTGCATTTTGAATGACTTATGAAATATCTTTTCTTTTAACGAAGAAATTATACCAACCATTTTTATTTTATATTATCCGTTTGCTCGAAGATCCCTTAAGAACTTAATATATATATATATATATATATATATATATATATATATATATATATATCATTGCTAGAAGATTCCTTAAAAACTAAAAATTTCAAAATTAGTCATTGCAATTTATTGAACACAAAAACAATTTTTGTGTTTAAAAACTAATAAAGATTGCTCATGTAAAAATAACAAATTGTCACAAAGGTTAGTATATTTTTCCTTTTAAACTAAGCATTAATCATAACTCCAAGAAAAATATCTTCAAATATAAAATTAGGCTCATGCTCTTATAAGGAATTTTTTTTTAGTTAATACTCTCGCCTATCTTCATATAATATGTTAAAATTTTCAATCTATTCCTAAATTCAAAAACACTTTCAATCCATTCTTATTACTTGAATTAATTTTTAATCTACCATTCTATTCAAATTTTTGATCAATTCATCATAAATTAATTTTTATAGTAATAAATATATATCACTTGTGTCAAAAAATAAAGATAATTTTATTAAATCATATACCATATGTGAAATATATGTTTAATTTGATCGAAAATTTTAACTAAAAAGATAAATTAGAAATCAGTTCAAATAATATAAACAAATCGAAGTATTTTTAGATTTAGCGACAAATTAAAAATTTGATAAGTGATGGTATTAATCTTTTATATATATATATATATATATATATATATATAATTAACATTTTTTTCCATTGATATTTGAATATAGTATCAAAATAAACTCATTTTCACCTTTGCAAAAATAAACAAATATAGAATAAAGGGTAACCTCATATTAACCCCGGACCTTCTTCTTCTTCTTCTTCTTTTTATATCAATTGGATCCGCAACTTATGCACAATCCTCAGTTAGTAACCTCCATGCAAATCTACTCATGTTTTGCACCACATACCTATTCTATGCAACAAAATGACGTTGTTTATAAGATAACTTAAGCATTTTCTATTAAAAAAATGCACAACGATTTTAGAGTGAAGACCTTTTATCAAGGATTGTTGTATAAAATGTGAACAAAATTGGTTAAAACAGAGCTTGGGAATCTAATGGAGAAAATGGGTAATGGGGTGTGGACCAACACGGTATTAGCCCTAGAATAAAATAGAAAAGTCATCTTTTTTATATATATAAGGAAAAGTAATCTCTTTGAATAGTATTATAGTCAATTTAGACTCTCTTTTTTTTTTCTTTTTTTCTTTTTAATTCTATCAAAAGTAATAATAACATAGACTTTTGAAACGTAACTTGCCATCCTAGCCCAGCTAGCAAACAATAATGAAAGAAGTAAAAAGATTTCTTGCCAGAATAGCTGGGAATCTTCCAAGGACTATACCTTTCTATCTTCGCAATCATATATTTATTTCAATTAAAATTAGAGCCGCTTGGAACCATATCTATGAATGAAAAGACAGAACACAAACAGTTGATTGGTCTGGTGAGTCAGCGATGGGGATGGTAAGCGGATGGGGATGAGGTTATTGCAAAGAGGGTCCTGCCAGCTCAGCCCCTTGTCTGATGGAAAGCAAGGGTCCCACCTGAAAGAAAAAGGGGACAAAAGATCCCTTCCGGCAGAAGAAGAGGAAGATCATTAGGCTTTGCTACCCTATGTAATTTCCCCGTATACACTTAAGTAGTAATGTTTTAGTAATAGCTATTGATGTGCCAGAGGCTGAGAAAGTTGTCACAAAGCCTACTCGCTTTCTTGCATTTAAAAAACGTGAAAAAAAGGTCGAGACACAAGCTTAGAGAGATAAAGAGAAGACTCCATATCATGTGAGAGAGAGTGAGAGAGGGGTCATTAAAAGAGGTGGGTTTTTGTCTGTAACGCTGAGGAACAAAGCTTTGGGTTTTTTTGGTTAGATATTAATTGTTGTCAAAAGAGAGGTTGCTGTTGTTTAGTGAGAGGAAGGATTGATGAGTGATTCTGTTCTTAATCCTGTCTGGACTACTTGCAAGGATGCAGCAGGAATCGCCGGTACTCTTCTTTCTCTATCTCTTAATTCTTTCTTCTTCATATGTTCCTGTGTTTCTCGCTTTAAGGAAATGACCCTCTCTTCTGTTTTTCGTAATGAACATATTGATTCCTGAAAACAAGAGATTTGGGGTTTGATGAATGCCTCAATTTGGCCCTTTTCCATCTTTATTTCTTACATTTTAGAACTGCAACAGGATTCATGCAGAGTTTGTTCAAAAAGAAAGAAAAAAAAAATCAATGTGTGTGAATGTGATCTTAAATTCTATGCATGTATTGGATACGTATTTTAGCTTAGTCAATGTACAAGCCCCTTTTAGATTTAGTTGACAGCTAAGGATTGGTTCAGTGAAAGCATTTAGCTGCTTGCAATTCCCATTTTGGAACGCAAAGTAAATGTCATTACATGATATGAATTGTGAAAGAAATGTATTTTTCCATATAAAATAGGAGAACCTAGAATTGGCATCCAATTTGAGAATTTTGTTCTGACACCAATACTTTATTATTGCAGGGAATATCTTCGCTTTTGGGCTGTTTGTATCGCCTATGTAAGTTCTACTTCTGTTCTTGGTATTCTTTGACTACAGAGATTGACGTAATTCATCCCTTGACTAGCATTTTCTTTTTCATGTTTGAAACTCTCAGACCAACCTATAGGAGAATAATCAGGAACCGATCAACAGAACAGTTCTCGGGGTTGCCGTATATATATGCACTCATGAATTGCTTGATCTGCATGTGGTATGGCACGCCCCTCATATCTGCTGATAATCTGTTGGTTGTCACTGTCAATTCGTTTGGCTCTGTATTTCAATTAGCCTACATTATCTTGTTTATAATATATGCTGAGAGAAAAATAAAGGTATTTATCCCTTTAAATTTGCGGAACTTATCAGCATTTTATGGGTTCTATATGGCCATTCACTTAAATTTTCTATCAATTGTTGCTGGCAGATCAGGATGTCAGCTTCGCTGCTAGCAGTGCTCGGCGTATTTGCAATCATAGTAGTAGGAAGCTTGCAAATTCATGCTCGAATGATACGATGGGTCACTGTTGGGTCGTTGACTGTTGTTTCTCTCATATCAATGTTCGCTTCCCCATTGTTTGTAATTGTCAGTAAATCAATAACATTATCTTAACTATTTCCTTTTAATAAACTATTTCCATAAATTGCTTAATCTCTTATTGCTGCTTTGCTTATATCTCCAGAATTTGGTGATCCGAACAAAGAGTGTTGAATTCATGCCATTTTATCTTTCCCTTTCCACTTTCTTGATGAGCACCTCTTTTTTCCTGTATGGAGTATTGAATTTCGATGCCTTCGTTTATGTAAGCTTCCTCTGGCACAATCATTTCCTTTTCCTGCAACCTTTACCTTTTCCGTCTGTCTTTTAACACTTCAGGTTTCATGTACATTGTACAAGCAGTTATAATATCCCTTGTCATGTAACATAAGTTAATGAGTGTGTATTCATAACTGTGTAGCTGTGTATGCATGAATTTATACATGTGCTCTTCATTTACAAACTGATTGATATATATATATATATATATATATATATATATATATATATATAAAAATATCATAATAGCTTATGATTTTCCATTTAAATTTCAGGTTCCAAATGGCGTTGGTACCATTTTGGGAATTATACAATTGGCGTTATACTTTCACTATAAGAAGAAACCCTTACACGAGTCCAAAGAACCATTGATAGTTTCACAGGCATAAAATGGACAGACTGGCAAAAGAAGGTGAGGAACAAGTAATGTCTCAATTCAATTGTCTTGTTCTTTTTGATAATTTTCTATTGTATGAGAGATGGAGCTTTTTTTTATGCTTGGGGTATATAATGCTTGGGTACCAGGGCATGTTGATTTGCTTGGGATATGGTTCAGATAGGAGCATGTCCAAAACTTAGTCTAGATAATGGATGCTTTGGAACTTCTTGTTTGAAGGAGGCACCCCATGTTTATCAAAAAGGGGGCACTCTGTGGCCTCTCGTTCTCTCCATATTTTGAATGATTTTAAATGGATAAACGAATGGATTTTTTTTTCAAACTTCCTCATTAAATGATAATCTATACCTCTGTTGCACCTGATATAAGAAGAGTCAAAGCCTCTAGGTGAGCTTATAAATGGCCAACATGACCCTATCTCATGCTCTTCAGTCACTGCTATGTCTGTGCATGCATATTGTTTTCATTTTTTCAGTGCAATGCTGATTTGTGCATCTGTCATTTCTGATCTATCCTTCATCTTCAAATTTATTACCCTGCCCATCCTTTGGATATCAGGGTGGATATATATATCATTCTAGTATATGCTTCACCCGACGATTTGTATTTTGAACCTCGTCTGCTGTAAGAGATCCATGAGAAACACAATCCTATTGACAATAAGCCTGTAATTATAGTAACTTGGCAAAGTCCTTAATACAATCACATGCAGTTATAAGTGAGCTGTAACATTGAAACATGTAATGACTACTTAGAGGCATGTTGACAACTGTGTTCATTGAACTGTGATAACTAAGATTTATAAACAAATTAATAATGTGCACATTAAGTCTTATTTGGTTTGTCAAAAAAACAAATTGTGTAAATTTTAAAAAATCAGATGAGAAAAAAAAATTCTCATGCTTGAAATAAAAGAGTTTAAGGCAAGAAAGATTACTTCTGTGTGTAGTCTTGAGTCCATTGAATTCCTGAATGCACAAAAGAAATCACCATATATTTCTTAGCTTCAATAAAGGTGAGTCTCTCTGTATAGTTGATGTCGATAAGACAAGAAAAGAATAGAGAAAATAATATTTTTACTCATATTTTATTCTTTGAATTACAAGCAAATTTATAGAGCATTCCTAAAATAGGAAATAGAAATAATAAAGACTAAAAATCAAGAACTAAATATATAGTAAATATATAGTCTGTTTTAACATAATTACATTCTACAAATTAGAAAACCACATAGTTGCCAACACTCCTTATCAAGGTGGTGCATGGATATCACATATGCCTACCTTGCAAACTGGAGAATGAAAAAATTTACTATTGAGCTTCTTAGTGAAAACATGATTTAGTTGATTTTCTGAAAGCACATGAAAAAGGTCTAAAATCATGGTGGATATTTTTTCTGTAATAAAATGTTGATTAATCTCTATATGCTTTGTTAGGTCACTTTGAATTGGATTATGTGCAATACTAATGGCAGCCTTATTATCGCAATATAAAGACAAGATTTTCTTTTGAGACTAGCAATTCTTCCATCACTTTTCAAAGCTATAATAATTCACAAGCACCCATTACTATAGCTCTATATTCTGTCTTTGGACTTGATCGTGCTACTATAGTATGTTTTTTGCTTCTCCAAGTAACCAAATTTTCACCTACAAATGTGCAATAACCAGATGTGGACCTCTTATCATCAAGAGATCCAGCCCAGTTTGCATGTGTGAAACCTTCTACTTTAGATGATCATGTTTAGAAAAGAGCATTTCCTTACTCAATGCAGAGTTTAAATATCTTAGAGCATGAAAAACAACATCTAGATGAGAATCCCGAGGATCATGCATATAGTGGCTTGTAATGTATGATTGGCCTCAGTAGGAGAATCTGTAGGCTTTACATCCTAACATACCAGTTTCCTCAAGAAGATATAAAATATAGTTCCCTAGAGAAATAAAGATGCCTTTTTTTGATCTGACAACCTCTATTTCAAAGAAATATTGTAGCTTATCCAAATCCTTGATCTCAAGCTCTTGGATTAGAAGTTTTTTCAATCTGACAATTTTCTCCACCTCATCTCCTATTATAACTATATCATCAACATAAACAATAAGTAGCATGATCTTACCATTATAGTGTTTGATGAACAAGGTATGATCAACATTATTTTGATGACATCCAAATAAAATCATGCCTTTACTAAACCTGTCAAACCATGCTCTGGGTGACTGCGTTAAGCCCATACAAGGGTTTCTTTAAACGACAAACCTTGCCTTGGGTTTTCTCAAAGTCAAATCCTGGAGGAACATTCATATACACTTCTTTCAAATCTCCATGCAAGAAACCATTTTTGACATCTAACTGTTATAGATCCCAATTAAGGTTAGTTGCACATGAAAAAAGGATTCTAGTAGTATTTATTTTTGCAACTAGAGCAAAAGTTTCTTGATAGTCTATCCTATAGGTTTGAGTGAACCCTTTCGCCACCAATCGAGCTTTGTGCCTTTCAGTTGATCCATATGTCCTATGTTTGACAGTAAACACCCATTTGCATCCAGCTAGGTTCTTTTCAATAGAAGAATAACAAGTTTCCATGTTTCGTTTTTTACCAAAGCCTTCATCTCATCAACCATGGTTTCTTTCTGTTTAGGATCCTTATATGCTTCTTGCCAACCCTGTGGAATAGACAGAAGACACAGGTGAAACAAAGGCTCTATATGAAGAAGTCAATGAATCATAGAGAATAAAATTAAAAATAGGATGTTTAGTATAAGTTCTGGCACCTTTTCTAACAACAATTGATATATCAAGATCATTAATTGTGGGATTAGAATTCGGAAGATCAAGGGTTGAAGGAACATCAAGCGTATCAAGATCATCAACAATGTACTTAGAATTAGAAACATCAAGAGTTGAAGGAGATTCATGAATCCTCAGCAACTGAATCCAGAGGTGTCGCTTGACTAGGTAGAACATGCTTAATAACTTTATCTGCCTTATTCCTACATGTGTAGGTTCTCAAATCTACCCTATCTAATCTCCCATTATTAGGATCTTTGCAATTATCATCACCACTACTAAACTACGTGGATGTAAAAGTTATCATCTCTTCTTCCCAATTCTACCCCTGAAGAGGTGACTGTGGTGAAGAAAAATAGGACTCAAATTCTCAAAAAGTATCATACATACTCATAAAGTATTTCCAAGTAGGTGGATGATAACACTTATAACCCTTTTTGAGTGGTAGATTACCCAACAAACACACATCTAAGGGCCTTAGGATCTAATTTTCCTACATTCCTCTTGTGGACAAAGCAGACGCATCCAAAGATTTTAGGAGGAACCTCATAGGAATTAGTACCAGGCAAAATTTCTAAAAGACTTTGGAAAATCAATTTTCTTAATGGCATGTTATTAATAAGATATGTAGTTGAAAGTACTGCATCTCTTCAATAGACTTTTGGAACATTCATAGTAAGCATGAGAGATCCGACCACTTTTAATAAATGCTCTTTTTTTTTTCCCTTCAGAGACTCCATTTTGTGCACTAGTGTTTACACAACTTTTTGATGCAATATCTTGTATGAATCGAGATAGGTTCGAAAGACACTATCCATGTATTCTGTACCATTATCAGTTCTCAAAATCTTAAATTTAGCATTAAATTGGATACAAATCATCTTGTGAAATAATTAAAAACAAGAAAATCTCATTCTTTGTTTTCATCAAATAAACCCATGTTGTCCTACTAAAACAATCAATGAAGGTAACAAGCCATCTATAGCCTAGCAATGATAGTTTGTGTAGGAACCCATACATTAGAGTGAATACTCATGAAAGAAACAGAACCTTTATTGTTACCAAAAGGATAAGAGTTTCTTGTGTGTTTAGCATACTCATAAGCATCAAAAACTAACAAATCAGATTTGCATTGTTTGAACAAATTAGGATATAATTTCTCAAAAACATAAAAAGTTGGATGTCCTAATCTTCTAGGCCTCTAGATTAATTGTTGATTAACAGACATTGAATCTCCTAAGAGGGCTTGGGTTTCAAAAGGAATCAAAGGGCTACTGCTTTTCTCTAGCAAATACAAGCCATCTTGCATTCTACCATAGCCCATCATTTTTCTTGTTTTTAGTTCCTGAAAGACAATAAGAAGGATAAAATTCAGCTTTGCAATTAAGTTTCTTTGTGAATGTACTAAAAAATAAGAGATTATTTGAAAAACTAGGGATATGAAGAACTAAAAGCAGATTTATAGAGGAAGTACAATTAATAGAACTTGTCCTAGATATAGGAGATAAAGACTTGTCTGCTGCTCGAACTTTATCTTTACCTAAACTCGGAGAGTAAGTTGAAAAATTATGGAGAAATTGACATTAAACGAAATACCTGAGTTGGCGAAACTGGAGGAAGCAACTGTGGTTGAGTGAGAATCAAGCCGAGAAAATGGATGCTTTAAGGTTTGCACCCCTTCATTGGAAAGACCTCCAGTAGTAGTTTTTCTAGGGACTGGTGCTTCAACAGCTCAAATTGATTTGCTTGTGACCTTGAGGATCCTATTTGTTTGCCTCCATGACCCCTAGTCAATCGACCATGAAGCTTCCAACAACGTTTTTTAGTGCATTTGGGTTTTTAACGATAATCATTTTTAATTGATCCTTGTCTAATGTTCCCAAATCATTGACTTTTGTCTGTTCAACGAATGGTATTGGCCACCAAGCATGTTTTGTCTATCAAAATTGTTTGTATCATGGCACTGCTTCGGCTTTCCTCATTGTACATAGGAATATATTTGTCGTAAAGAAGATAAAAGATCCTTGACCCAATACTTGAACCCGTATTTGATCATGTTCCAAATTCGATCCACTAAGAAAATCATATATGCGCTCTTTTTTATCAATTTTTGAAATTTAGTTGTCTCCGAGACCTGCAGCTTGGAACACTTGATAATAATAAAGTTCTTGCCATAAACGACTCAATTTAGAAAGGAAAGAAAAATATTGAGCAATAGTCATCCCATCTTGTTTTGTTCTATGTACCTTTTTTTGCAATTCATAAATCTGCGTATCATTTTCCACTTGAAAATTGGTTAGTGATACTGCATTTCAAATTTTATGAGCAGTATTAAACGATAAATAACCTTTGGAAATATGGGGCTGCATGGAATTTATAAGCCATGACACAACAAGGGAGTTTTTGAATTCTCATTGATTGTAGGTTGAGTCTGTAATTGCTGGCTTTGGCTTATCTCCTGCAATATATCCCTTCAAACTTCGAGTTTGGATGAACAATAAACACAACCTTGACCAGGCAAGGTAATTTTTACCATCTAGCTTAACAAGACTATTTGTAAGGAGGGATTGTGGCCTTAAAAATCAGTCTTGTTCTCAGTAATAGATTTTTTTTTCCATATGCCATAGTGCATGTTTAGGTTAAGAGACGTGTTTGCTAGTTAAAGATGGCAGCAGCTTAAACTCTAGAAAGTAAAAATTCTGACCCCTGCCGAGCGATATGAGTATTTCGCTCTTTAGAGGCAGTTAAATCTATAATACCATGAGGTCGACAAGACAAGAAAAAAATGGAGAACACGATATTTTCACTCATATTTCATTCTATGAATTACAAGCAAATTTATACAGCATTTCTAAAATAGAAAATATAAATAATAAAGGCTAAAAATCTGGAACTGAATGTACAAACTATTTTAATCTAATGACATCCTACAAATGCGAAAATCAGATGGTTGTCAACAATAGTCGTATAAAAGCAGCGTGATAAGCATCAATTACCAGGTGTGAGCCAATGGAATATCATCTTTGATTACTCCCTCCACTTTCAAAATGGTAGAGCAAAGGATGTCAATTCTTAATTTTAGTCTCATGGCTCACCAATTTGGATAAATATGCCATTGGTTGTTGATATATATATATATATATGTATATATATATTTGTCCCATATCAAATGTAAGGAAGATCTAATGCATTTACGGTTGTTCTTCTTGATTCTGCAGGGAATTCATGGCTGATCTAGCAGCTGGTAAAGTCAATGTGAGTGCTCCCTTGTTAGCCAAGGCAGTGAAAGGAGCGGTTGTTGTTTGCGTTTTCCCGTCGACCGTGGTTTCCAATATGTGTGTGATAAAACCCTTTCAAGTGTGTTGACTGGCACCTCCGTCTCATGAGAACTACTTTTTTTTTTTAATCCCGGTAATGGTATCCATATACTGGGGACTGCTTTTACAAGTTGCAGCTTTTCTGTTGTCCCTCATCCGTCTCTGTTAGGTTATTCATATCTTTTCTAATATTGATTTTACCACTGGATTAGGACCTAGGAGCCTCGTATGTTTCTTTAACTGTTCCTCCCGATCTTCTATTTTAATGTTGTTTCATTAATTGATGAACAACGTTGTTCTTTAAAAAATAAAAATTAATTCGATGCTATGTTGGTGGACAAGCATTACTTTGATGATTAGATCCTATGATAATGGCAAACTAGTTGATTGTTCGTCCGCTTTTTTATTCTGATTTATAAATTGATTATCGAGTTTTTTCTAGTCAGTTCTAATAAGGTGATTTAGAGATAAAAATAAAATACAGTTTCTCACCTAAAAAATATGAACTAAACTTCTGTGATTTAGACTTATTTTAATTTTTTTCACCATAGAAAAAAGTCTTATTGTATAATAAAATTAAAAACTCAATACTTTTTAATTATTTTAACACATTTTTTAAATATTAAACATAAAAAATATGGACTAAACTTCTGGTATTTATATTAGTATGCATGAATTTTTTTAATTTTATTTAATTTTCAGTTGACGTGGCATAGTTGATAGGATGGTAGCATAACATAAATGCCAAATAGAATTACATATAGCATTTCATATGGCTTATTTGATAAATTAAATCCCCAGTTATGAACTGCGTGTTAATCATTTCCAAACTTAATTGAAAAAACCCCGATCCCCAAATCAAACACCCACGATTAATTCTCTTTCTGGGACCCACCATATGATTGGAGGTTCTACTCAGGAAAAAAGGGAAAAAGGAGGAAGCCTCCTCTGCATCAACAACCCACACAACAAACCTCCATCATTCGATGAAGACCTAACAAGATTCACTCCAACAAAATCCTTAACCCTATTCCAATCCTTCAGCCTCGTTGATGATGAAGATGTCGTTGAATCAGTACCGTCTGATAAATCTCTCGACTCACCACATGAGTAATTCACGTCCTTGCCGACTGAACTATTCGAATCACGCTGATGCTTCTTCTGCTGACACCGAATACTTTCTCTCATAAGGTCATGAAATCCAATTGTCGATGCCGAGAAATCAAAGCTGTCGATCACATTCACTCCAATACTAATCACACTACAGAATCTTCTAGAAGGACGAATAATTTGGAGAGCGATACAAGAAGGCGTGGTAATCACGACTTTTGATGAAGAAAGAGAGATTACTAACAAGAAAACAAACGATTCCTGTTAGAGCATCACGGACTTAACCAAAACGGTTCCTGTCAGAGGCTCTTGGTTTTGTAAGTTTTGGCAAGAGCACTGTGCAATAGAGTTGAGATCAGTAATTGGTATTTTGACTGAACAATAGGCTGTGAGGGAGAGAACGACGATAGCAGGGCTGCTGGGTTTGTGTGGCGGGCTGGAGTGGTAGAGGCTCTTGGTTTTGCAATTTAGGGGATTCGAGATTTTTCAATTGGGTTTGGAAATGATTGGCGTGTAGTTCGTAATTAGAGAGTTAATTTGTCAAATAAACCAAGTGGAATCCTTCATGGTTTTTAAGCCATGTCATCATTCTATCGATCATGTAACGGTGGCTGAAAACGAAATTTAAGTAAAAAAAATCATAAATGTTAATATAATTAGGAGAAGTTAATTCATAATTTTTTTATTCATCATTGAAAGAATGTATTTAAATAATTAAAAAATATTAAATTCATAATTTTATGGTGTAATAAGCCCAAAAAATAAAGATGTTAGCCCATTATTAGCTTCATCATCGACCACGATTTCTCAAAAACTTTAATAAAAAAACTAAAAATAATATTTTATCTTTCATAACATGTATCATCCTTTTCCCTCGGTAAATAAATATATATAAAAAATAAATTATTTAAAAAAATTAAACTATGAACCTACACCTTAAATCCCCATCATATTAAATTTTATGCGTGAATTGGATTTCATAACCCTGTCAAACAAGTCAAATACTATTAAGAACCTCTAATTGATTTATTTTCGATTGAACCCTAATGATGCAATTCACGTAATCTAAATGTTTTAAATATATAATGACTATATAAAATAAAAGCATTTGAATAGCAGTATAAAAAATTATCATGCATCACATAAAATTTAGCGTAAATTAAACAAGGGACTAAAAGATTTGGAAGGTGCTTTTATACCTTAACCCAAAGAGAAGGGATGTAAATGCAGAGATAGACAAGGTACAATGTCTAATGTCTAAATTGAGGTAGTAGTGAGGGCGAGTGAGGCGCGTGATGGTCAAAAGAGGTTCGGTGTGGTGGATTTGGAAAGCTCAACTCCTGTCGATCACCATGTTGGGCTGTGTGTCAGAGTCAAAGCTTGATGAAGACAGCGGTGGTTACTTTCCCCTCTCGCTTTATTTTGCTTTCTATTTCATTTTTTAGTTGCCAATATGCTCTTTATTTTTTTTTATTTATGGCTAGGTTTTATTTTTTTTATAGGTGTTGCCTAGTTTTTTTCTCTTTTTTTCTTTTTCTGAATTGGGGCTTGGGATTTAGGCCTGGCCCGCTAGCATGCTCCTAGGCTATCCAAGAACACTTTCGTTCTTTTTAATGGTTTTCTTTTCTTTTCTTTATTGATTTTTATCTTTTCTATTTTATTTTTACGTGGGATAAAAATATAGTGATGACATCGTTCTTTTTATAATGCTTACATGTCAAAGATATAGGAAGATAAAAATCTTTATGCACGTTGACTTAATAAGTTTTGTTAAAAAGAGACAACTATTATAAAGTGACCCCTTAGCTTTACAAGAAAGGCCGATTATTAATAGAAAGTTTAATCATCGACCAAAAGAACCTCTTATGAGGGATCTGACTTTAGAAATGAAAAACAATCAAATATGTCGACGATGGCCCAACAGGGAATGCGAGGAACAGTAATTGCCACCTAACTAATCAAAGAAAACTAAGAAATTCTAAATAAACCGATCCGTATAGATACTTAGGTAAGGAGCCGATTACATAAGGAGAAGATCCATCATCGTCATCTCATCCTACTTAAAGTAGGTCGCATTGTTTGTATGTAAAAAATAAAAATCTAATTTTAATATGTTATATTCATTTTAAATCTTTCTTTTCAAGTTTTTATAATAATTTTTTGGCCCTTAAAATTCTTAACTAATTTAATTTGAAAGTTTAAGCTTTTGATCTTATGCAATTGAGTCCATAATTTTATGCAATTAAGTTCCTAAGTCTAAAATTGCATCCCATACCTTTTTAAAATCCAAATTATTTTTATAATAAATTCAAAAACTTCCTAAAAGAATTTAATCATCATTCACATAATTTTTATACCTTTATTTAGGCCTCCAAATCAATAAAATATTCAATGAGAATATGAGAACCTTTTGTGGATTATTCCATACCCTCAAAACATTTTTCTTATGTCTTTAATACTTTTAATTTTATTAAATTTCAATTTTAGTCGGTACAAGGTATTACATGAATATTTTTAAAAGATTGACTTGTAGAGAATTTTCTTAAAAGGGAAAGGTTTGCCCTTTCTCAAATTTAAGTTTTCTTTATTTGCAACAATGATAGACATGTGAGCGTCTATAAGGGTAGTGCTTCTATAAGAAGTATAGGTCGCACTTCGTAATACTTAAATCCTTGTCTCGATTTTTTGAGGAATCGGCTCGGATCTTGTGTCTCGATTGCTAGTTTGTTAGAGTTTTTTAACAAGATATTGGATCGATTGTATATAGTCCTAGTTTGTTGCCATTTTACTTTGCCTATAAGAATGTGATCCCTCTCTTTATTGTTAGATCATACTGCATTCCATAAGTTTCATGATTGGTCCATATGAAGGTCATGGTCATTGAATTGTCTTCATACTCGTTTGCTAATTGTTAAATTAATGATTTTTTTTTTTTTGTACCTCCTTCAAATGTTGATAAATGTTGAATTGTTGCTTGGCCCCAAGCTATTTTCTTTCTTTTTTTTCCCCCTCAAGTTCAACCGATGTGACATGAATTCAGCTACTTTTATGTCACTCACAAGCCTCCTAGTTTAGTTAATGTGCAATAAGTCTTGCACACTTGAGTTTCGATCTTATTGAACCACTTAACGATGATCAATGGCATCCTTGATGATTCAATTATTCAGTCTTTTACCTTGTACTTTGTAAATGCAAGGCAATTTAAGAACTTTAAAAAAAAAAAACACTAATTACTTTGTTTTACTGAACGTGACAATAAAATTTAACGAAATCCTCTTATCAGCCCGAATTATTATATAAAAAAAAATCTTAAGAATGTGCATTAAAAGGTATTCTCATTAGTGAATTGTTTAATTGGTTGTTCATGAGCCATAACATATCACTCAAATATTATGTGGTCACCCTATTGAGTTGCAAATGATATTTTGAAAATGGATATTTTTTGTGTTCTTTAAAAAAGTAAAAAAAAAAACTCGGATGTTTTGATAACGAAGAACTCAAATGGTCTTTTGCAAAATAAAAGATGCTTTGAATCAGTTCAAAGTGTGGTTTTTTGGGTTAAAAGGATTGGTCTTATCTTGTCTTTCTTCTTGTTGTAAGATCTTATAGTTTAATGTCCTAAATAAAGATGTGGAACATACAAGTAGATCAAGTCTCTCTCTTTCTCTCTCCATAAACTTTTTCTCCTTCTATTTGAGGATAAAACTCATCGACTTACAATTCATTTTTTATTAAAAAAAAAACTTTTGAAAGCACATAATGTAGCCTGGTTTTGGGGTCTTAAAGAAAAAGATATAAAGGCTTCAAATGTGCTCAAGAGTTAGAAGACTAAGAATTAGTTCAACAATTCTAAGAAGTTCCTACTTGACTTTATTGTTCCGATCGATGATATAGCTCCCAAAAATCTCCATTCTTTTTCACTATTTTTCTGTTGCTGATTTAATCTTCTTTCGAATGATAGTTTTCATGATTGATGATTATCTCTTTTTTAGATGAAGTTGATGTGCATTTTTATGAATTCATGATCTAAATTTTGACTACCTCAACAAATGTTGCTCATTTTTTTTTTCACTTTTGATTACCTCAACAAATGTTGCTCATTTATCTTTGTATTTCAAGTACATTCTATCCTAATGTGAGAGTGATCTTAGTTTTGAGTTATCATCACAATAAATTACTAAAGTTCAAAAAAAGACTAGAATGAATTTTTGTATATATTTAAATGATATGTCAAAATGGTTTCTTCTCATCTCAAAATCATTTTGCTCATGCTATCAAGTTCTAACTCTTTTGAATGTTTTTGTTTTGAAACCAAAAAAAAAAAAAAAAGAAGAGAAAACCGAGTTCGACCTCTATGTATTATTTAGAGCATTGAATTCTTTTTTATTTTTATATAGTCATTTATGACACAACTCTCCTTACAAAGATGTTGTTTGGGGAGAAACGATTGTATTTTGGTTTCAAAGAAAGAATGATTGCCCTCTTATGAGAGTTCTTATTACAAAATAAAACTAAGTTTTGCTCTTTATATGGTCCCTCTATTTTTCAAAGTGTTTAGATTGAGACTATATATTGTTTTTCATGTTGATTGAATCATTCTACTTTTCATATTACATTAGTTCGTGAATTGACGTGGCACATCTACTCTTGAATGCATGAGATGTGTCATACATGGGATCACAATAGAAGAACACAAGTAAAATAATTCGAAGAGTATAGGGCTCAATCAACACATTCAAAGAATACAAAGACCAAAATTTTCTTTTTCTTTTTTAATTTTCATGTTTTTTTTTTTAAGACCTCATCCTAAATTTCGAAAAATATATCATATGTAGGACCCCATCACAATAAGATTGTGAAGTATATATATATATATATATATATATATATATATATATATATATATATATATATATATATTAAGAAAAAGTGTTATAATAAGTTAAAAATAATACATAAAAAAAGGAAAAAAAATAACTTAACATACAATTATTAAAACAAAAATATAATTGTGCAAAATTGATTAGCCTCAAACCCCTAGTTAATAGGTTTAATCCTCTACAAAAAGTTAGAAATTTTAAATATTTGATCAATTCAAAATTAAAAAAAAATGGAATCGCTTCCTCGAAAAACTTAAGAATACACTACATTTTATTTTTAATATAGATAATTAGTTATTAGTCAACATACTATTATTTTTATTTTATTTTTGACAATCATATTTGTATTTTTCTTATTGCATGTTGGGTTTGTTTTATATGTATTTTATTTTTAAAAATTATTATAATACTTTATAAAAATAAAACTCTTTATAGTTTTATTGTAATGAGGTCACACATATGATAAGTTTTGTGACATTCAAGATAAGGTTTAAAAAAAACAACAACATAAAAATTAAAGAAAGAAAAAATAATAATTTAGTCTATGTACTCTTTAAATTGTGTTAATTGAGTTTTTATAATTTTGCAATTATTTTGATTATGACTCTCTATTATGATCTAACATATGACATATATCATGTATTAAAAAATAAACATGTCAACGTAAGCTCACAAACTAATGATGTTGTAATGGAGGGACTAAAGCAATATAAAATAAAAAGTAGAAGGTTTCAATCAACACGAAAAAAAAAAGAAAAGGATTTCAATGGAAGCAATTCGAAAAAATACAAGATTATATGTAGGCAAAACCCAATAAAACTGGAAAATGATTTTTCAGTTGGAACCCATCACTCTCCTCGTTACAACTATATAGTTTGAAAGTTATGAAATTCATCTAAATAAAGCTATAGCAAATCCTTCAGAGCAGTCCTTAGAACACATGCTGGTTCTTCCTACACAACATAAAGAATGGATCAAACCATATTAGGAAGAAAGACTCAATACAATTTGTTCAAGCTATAGAAATTAGAGTAAAAATATTGGATTTCGGAAATGAAAAAGAAAATACTTAATATTTAATGTCAGTAAGTTTTGTCCTTGAAAGACCAGGATAATAAATTCTGCAAGCCCATAAAAAAATTGCGAGAGACTACCGGAACAAATAGAAATCGAAGAAATTGTGGTTTGGTCTGTGGAGGCCAGTTCAAGACAGAACAAAGCCTGTTAAACTTTTATTTTAATTGAAAAGGGTTCTGGCATTCTTCTTTTCAACTCGCAGTAATAATCTCAATATTGAAATCAATTGTTATTAAGATTTAAAGCAAAACATGAGAAGTATAATAAAAAAAAAAAAACTACAATCTTACATGAACGACTATTAAATTATTGTTATACCTCGTCAATATTTTCTTTACGAGAACGATCAAGTAGCCGACCTCTTTCATCATAGAGAATGAGCCCACTGTACCTTGGAAGCTCACATTTCTCCCCCATGAGTATAGGCCTCTGCCACACTGGTGACAATGAGTTATGGCTTTGCCACCCCATACTTGACTCACACCTTTCTAACTCAAGAAGCGGTGGTGGTGATGATGGCGCTAGTATCTCTCTCCCAATCCCATTCCCACTCCCACTGCTTGTCTCCTCCCATTTGTTTGCGCCACTCCACCTCATTGACTCCATCAACACCCTTCTTACTGTGATCCAATTATGAGAACCAGACTCAAGCTCAGACCATCTTATTGAGCTATCTGTGCTTGGGTCTTGGCTCACTGCTCTTTGCTTTCTTTGGGCCTTCCTCTTAAGCATTGTAGCAGCGCAGAGCCCGATGACGGCAAAGGCAGAGCACACAAATAAGAGAATTGCTTCTTGGGTTGTCAGCTTCCATTTGTCCTCCAGATTCCACAATGCTTCCATAACTGGTAATTATGAGTGTGAGACTGGGTGTCACCGATGATATCTATCATGCTAGGTTGACAAAGAGGGTAGCATGTCTAGTGTTTTTGTATTGCTATATCCGGGTGTGTATGATGGCCTTCACGTGTGGTCCACCGCTAGCTGGGGTTAGGCTACTAGGGTTCACTTGTGTACTAGCCGTTGGGAGTAGTATCTCACCGATTTGAGCTAATTAAAGCACCTCACGAGGGATATAAAGTTTGCCATTATAACTCTGATGATGCATGACACAGATGCATGCCTGCTGTTTTGTGTGGTTCATGTTGACCCAATCTAAAGCCAATGTTCACATCACACTGATTCTAAGTGCTCCTTGGAACTTTCAAAGCTGCATATTATATTGCTGAAATGTAGAAGAGCTCAAGAACAAGCAATTGGTGCACAGATTACTCTCGCCTTAAGGGTATTTATGGAGTGGAGCACATAATCAGCATCTTATCATTGATTTTAATGAAGCAAAACACCATCAACCACTACCGTATGTGACTTGCAATCCTTAATTTGAAATATTTAGAAACAAAAACAGTAAGTACAGATATGTATAATTTGAATGGGGAGACCACTCTAAGGCAAAAGAATTGGCTTGGCCTTTCTTTCTCACCGGGAATTGAACCATAGTCAGACTATGTCTCTCCAGTGCCACCAGGAATGGAGGAACCACTATGTTGGTCAGAACTTGGACCAACCGGACAACTGCTTGATGAGGGATGATTGCCACCTTTTAAACAAAACTACCTGCCAGACAAATTTGGAAAGATCAAAGAAGCCTATGTGTTTACTAATCTATCATCAAGTGAAATCAAACCTTCTAAATTTGCCTAGCTCAACAGAGCAAACTACTTCTTAACCATACTTCTTCTATATTTGTCAATGAAACTCATATTAAATGCATAAAGCATATATATATATAAACACCATCAAGATCGAAAGCACTGGCTAGATTTTACCGTGCAAATTACAGAGAACTTGATGGAGATCAGTGGAAACCAAATCTAGGATGGACCAATATCTCGAATTAAGGGATTTTTCTACTTAAACAACAACTAGATTCATATTATATACACCATACATGAATATTTTAATCCAAAAACTAAGGGCCCTTAAGGTCAAATTAGCAGGGGAAATATATCGAGACATTGGAGGCAGAAGCTAGCTCAACTCCTATCAGTTTCATTAGCTTCAACGAGATACGCACAGACAAACTGAGGATGGTGTCATTTTCCAGTCTTCATCTTAATTGAGGCCAAAACTACAAACTCGGTGTTGCATTTTATCTTTCATATTTCAAACATCACACAAACAAATAAATCAACTTAGCATAGAATAGTTTCTCTACAAAGCTCCCTTGTTGCAAACTCTCATGCCATTTTGAACAAGCAACACAAGCAGTAGATTCACCTTAGAATGGCTGAAACATGGAAAAATATCAGAATTCCAATCTAAGATCATTCAGTAACTTCTCTCAACATGTCTGAGTGTCTTCAAAGACAGAGTGAGCATCCTCACTGTCACTGAACCATTGAATAATATGAGAATATTGTGCTTCAGCTAAATATGAGCTATACATAACAAGTGACAGTTCTTTAACGCATAACAGAAACAATTCAAATGAAGAAACAGACCAGAAAAGCAAAATGTTAAAAATACCGCTATAGTTAACAAAAAAAAAAAAAAAGCCGAACTAATTTGCAACTTACTCAATAATTAAAAGGCTGCAATTACAGCAAGTTTTTTGCATGTTCAACTAGGGTTTTCTACGGTATGTTTAACCTGAGAAGTCAATGGTGCTGCAAGTAGAATAAGCCACATTAACTGCACAAAGCACAGTAACACCATCAGGGTAGAAATCAATACCTAGATTTTACCAATTACATTGCAGAGAGCTTGTTGGTGATTAGCGGCCTATCGAGGTAAGACCAAAATTTCTCAAGAATGAACAAAAGGAATTCTTAGTTAAACAGCCAGGATTGATATTATACACAGTATAGCTGTAGTTCATGATGGCGACAGTAAAGCATATAGACTGAAAAAAAACAATTCAGGTCCAGAAGCACACAAAAAGTCAACAACGTTAAGGCAGACTCTAGCTAGCTTCAACTCCTAATAGTTTCATTAAACTGCTCATCACAGTTTTGGTTTCGGCTCTCATATTTTGCAGGAATCAAGGCCATAAATAATCCGTGCAAATAAATGGTGGATCATGCATAGCATTGTTTCTCTAAAACTACCTTAAGTAGTGCAGCCTCATATGCCTTCAAACAAGCAAAACAAAAAACATTACTGGAAAGGTTAAGCTACAAATACAATCTCCGCCCTAATATTATACTCAATAGCAAATGGGATAATTTCATTCTCGGATTTACAAAAAGCTGAACCATTTTTAAACAAGAAACCAACCCTTTTTTTTTTTTTCCAAACAATTCAAATCCCAAACTCATTTACGGAGAAGAGACCCAAACCCACCGATTGATTCTACCAGCCATGGAATATCCAAATCACAGAACCAAAAAGTAAGCAGCCAAGCATAGAATGTAAAACAGTAAAAATACAGTAGCTTGTATGGTGCAGACATAATCTCCCAGGCAGCAGAGCAGTGATTGAGATTGAGATTGGAAAAAAGAGGAAAAAAATTTGGACCATTTCTCGATTTGTGCGTGTCATCCTTGCGCAGGGGCCATGCTAATCTTCTCTGTATCGTTCCAATTTTATCGGATGTCCCCGAAGGGACGATCATGTCTTTCTGCTTCGCCATTATAACTTTGTGGACATCTCTCTAACCAAACGATGTGGGATTCTCGTCCCATTGCAACTGCGCGTTTTGTTTAGTTTGGTTCGCTCTCAACTTGGATTACGTCACCACCAGTATTTAAATTAATTTATTAATGGGCTTTACATGAGCCAATTTAATATTTGAGCCCAACCCAGTTTTTGAAAAAAACCACAAGCTAATGTGTTTTTCTTCCTCACGATTTGTGCATCCTTCTTCATATATGATATATTCTTTCTCCCTCAAGGTTTTGTTTTATAAATCCCGAATTCTTTTTTAGGTAATAATTAATTAATGGTTTAACCATAAAAAAATTAGTATTATAGAAGAAATAGAATAGAATTTTATATACTTTCACGCTGATGATAATTCTTCTCTCTCGTCTCTTGTCTCTCAGTCTCGATCATCACTCACTTCACCAAATTCCTGTTCCCCAAAGGTCAGTAATTCTAAACTAATTATTACTTTTATTGCGTTTGCAGATTCCTAATTTCTGAATTTGTTAACCATTTCAATCACAGCTATGTTGTTAGGGTTTAGTCTGGCAATTACTAATTAATTACAATGGTTTCTGTTCGTTTTAATTTTCAGGTTGGGAGTTAGAAACTTTCTTTGATTAATTCTGAAGAGTCAAACATTGTACTTTTATTTGTTTTTTTATTAAATATTAAAATATGTCTGGGAGAAATCGGGGACCTCCTCTGCCGATGAAAGGTGTACCTCACCCAGCACTCCCACCCGCTGCTGTACACGAGTCCCGCTTTGGCAGGGGACTTGGACCAATGCCGCCTCATCCAGGTTTATTAGACGAAATTAGAGAAACCCAGTTTGGGATGGACCCCAGGCGGCTTCCTCCTCATCCTCTCATGTTTGAGGATCGTCTTGCAGCCCAACACCAAGATATTCAAGTTTTATTAGCTGACAACCAGCGGCTAGCTGCAACCCATGTTGCGTTAAAGCAGGAATTGGAAGCTGCGCAACATGAGTTGCAAAGGATGGCACATTTTGCGGATGCATTTCATGCCGAGAAGGATGTTCAAATGAGGGAATTGCATGAGAAGTCTGTGAGGATGGAGATGGATCTTCGTGGGGTGGAAGCTATGCGGAATGAGCTTCGTCGTGTACGTGCTGATATTAAGGAATTTACTGATGCAAGGCAAGAGCTTACTGGTCGGGTGCAGGTGATGACTCAAGATTTGACTAGGTATAATGCAGATTTGCAACAAGTGCCAGCAGTGAAGGCTGAAATTGAGAGTATGAAGCAGGAACTACAGCGTGCACGGTAAAAGTTGCATAATCTCTATTGTTTATTGCAATGTAATTTGACCATGAATTTCTTATTTTTACTTTTTCCATGTAGAGCTGCCATCGAGTATGAGAAGAAAGGCTATGCGGAGAATTACGAGCATGGTGTTGTCATGGAGAAAAAATTGGTTGCCATGGCTCGGGAGATGGAGAAGCTTCGGGCAGAGATTGCTAATGCAGAGAAGAGAGCTCGTGCTGCTGCTGCTGTGGGAAATCCAGGTAAAGTATTGATTGAAAAATTGGGATTGTGCTGTTAAATTGATCGAGTTGGTTAGTGAGGTTCAATCATGTCAATATGTCCTTTGAATGTGGAAAAATAAAGGACAGAAATCACTTCTTCAAACTTGTATACTCCCCTTTTTTTTTTTTTTTTTTTTTCCAGTGTTTTAATTGCTTTTGAATCTCAGTGGTTTAGATGATTTTATTCATCTCAGGCAGGGCCCAGATGATGGTTTAGTTTGATCGGTGTGTCTGATTTTAACTTGTCTAAATGACATCAATGCCACAAATAAGCAATGTTTATGGGTTACCTTTCATTCATATATATATATATATATATTCTCACTCTATAGCTTTATCAATCACCGTTGCTGACATTTGGTTCTTAGTTTTTATAACCTTGAGTTTCTCTGCAGCTGCAGCTTATAATGCAAATTATGCCAATCCTGAAACTGGATACACAGCAAATCCTTATCAGGCTGTTTATGGCATGAATCCCGTAAGTAGGTTTATAGACCTCAACGTGTGTGCATGTTTGTTTGTGTTTCCAATTTTATATTTATGTGTCTATGTGTTTGCTTGCATTTGAGCTGCATTCATGTGCCTGTATCATAGTTATGTTTTGGGGAATCAGTTTCGATGTCTCTCATTCAGGCCAAATTTCAGGTGCATGCTAATGCTGAAAATTTTCCTCAGTATGGAGCTGGACCTGGTTCCTGGGGTGCATATGATATACAGCGAGCTCAAGGACCCAGATAGATTGGCTTCCAGACCAAGCTAAGATGTGTTTCAAACGGTATCTTAGGCTGCACTTTATTAGATACTTGGGTTTAGGGTTTGAACTGTTATCTCATGATGCTTATTTTGGGAGTCTTGCTCGTCTATTTGGCTGAATGAAGTTGTACTGCTAATAATGACAGTTCCTATTATTTTTGGGGTGCAGTGTACTGCTTTGATTTGTTGTCTTCTCTGCAAATGCTTGCATAAACTCCCTTTTCTTTTAATGCATTTTCGTGTGTACGTATTTTTTCCATGCTTGCATCCATGAATTGCAAGTCATGTTAAGAGAAAGGGTCAGATATGCATGCTTCACAGCTGTATATTGCTTATTATGCTTCTCAGTTGTGAGGCATTTGGCTGTGAAATCAGCCGAATTGATGAATATCCTATTTTTGAGACAAGTATCATATTCAGGTGCTTTTAAACTTTAGGAGACCACATAGTGGATGAGCAACAGGGGTATGTTAATTATTGTGCTCCTTGATCACCTAAACTGGTGTAGTTTACTTTCAGGCCCCTTCTGATAATTGTTATTGTGAAGTTTAGCCTTCTTCCAGCTCCACTTTTGTGCAGACCTTACTCAGTTTTCTTCAAACCTTAGCTCAAAAGCTTCTGCTTGAGTATGTTTTTGCTTTTCTGGATATTAATTTCCTTCCAGAATATAGAAAATAAATATTAATGTCTCTTGAACATGTTCGGTAGTTTTGGGGAACTAAAATGGTACAATGAGGATAAAGTTGCTATTTTGTGAGAATCTTCAAGGTTCATATGAAGTTAACTGGAGATGTTGATCTGCCATTGAGTTGTTGATGACCTATCTATAATTATCTGCTACAAGTTCCAGCAAGTTTATAGCTAGATGGTTAGGATGCATCCTTGACCATTAGGATGGAGTTGCTGTATCGAGAGCATCTTCAATGTATATTGTGAGTTGACTTGGGGACCCTTTACCTGTCAATTAGTAGGTGTTGAAAGCCATCTATCCCACGCAAGTTTTATTAAGTTTACAGCTTGTTATTTAGGATGCATCTTCCCACCCTCTACTTCCTCTTTTCTCCTTTTCTTCTCTTTCGGGAGAAAAGGATGAGCATTAACCTAAAGCAATTGACCTGGGATATGCCTACATTTGAAGCAGTTCTTGTACTATCCTCTATGATGGTAAGGTGAAACCTAGTTTTCTGTTGTATTGTTTAGGGGTTTAGGGGAATTGCTCAAGCGATTTGTGATCAAACTCAAATCATTACTAATTTTGAGATCTTTGCATGGTACTGTAATTAGCTACTTTGTTTCAGTCTAGTGTTTATACTTTTAAGTCCATTTGACATCTGCACTGCGGCATTCCTCTGCAAATTTTCTGCTAATTACACTTTAAATTTTGACTAATGTTTAACTGGTAAGAATCTCATGTTGTTAGATTTTTCTGTTCAGAGTAAAATGTTTTCGTAGTCTTTTTGATGCCAGACTGTTTTGAAGAATCCTTCTATAATATTTTATGTTCTGATTGGGAACCAAGATATGAAAGTTCAGGATTTAAGGCTTAGAATGATAGAAGTATGAATCTAGGCTTTGAATTTGATTAGGTTTGGATTGGTTGAGGTTTTAAAGGAAAGCAATGGCTGGATTTGGAATTGAAGAATCAGGTTGCAGGAATTGCTAGAGCAATGAATTGATGTTTAAAAGGGGTTACACTTATTGATGGTTGATATTTACAAAATCATCAGGTTTAGGCTTTCAAAAGGTGTAAAACGCTGGTTTCAGTCAAAACAAGACAAGCCTAAATTAGGCCTAGCAATGGCACTTTTCCAGATTCCAATTAATTCCAAAATTTTGTGCACAGATTTCAAATATTAATAATCAAGTCCAGAAAAGCATTGGCTTATGTAACATTCCGACATCATAGGGTTGACATAGTTTTATGTCTAATTTGTTTATGGTTGTTGTTTGTGCTAATCTTATAGCTAATTCAGCTTTTGTTTACCTCTATACTATCTTCACCTCCTGCGAACTCCACCATGCAGTCATGCATATCTTTAGCAGTTCAGCGAAGTTCTGAGCTGGCTTGTTTTACGCCTTTTCCTTTTGATGGCATTGTATGTATTTTCTTCTGGGATCTTAGCAATGACCTCAGGCTAATTATTTGGATCAAACAAAGTTTGTTGCTTCTTTGAGGAAGTGCTCCATGTTCCCCTGCCCCTTCTGAGAAAAAAGAAAAAGAAAAAGAAAAAGAACTAAAACTAAAATAAACCTCCTATTACATAATTGTGTTGTCTGCCAAGGTAGAGTTTAGGAGCTGTACTCTGCTTCTTGGAGCGTGCACAGGCAGTGTAAGAAAGAGATGCCTCCCCTCGCCATTAGATGATTTGTCGTTCCTGCAACAACGAATTTCCCATTATGACTAAGGCGAGAAATAAGCTGTGAAAATAGAACTGAACTTTCAGGTTGAAGGTCAGTTCCTGAATGGGAGGCCTTCTCCTCTACTAGTCTCTTGTGTGGGGTTGGCTATTTGGAGACACGTCATTCATTTTTCCCTTTGAAAGGGATTCTATGAATTTATCTTGTTTAAAAGATCAATGGCTGAGTGTTGGTTAGAAGCTTTTCATTGGTCAAAGTATGCTGGTCGTTTGGGGAGACATGCTCAACAGTGAAGCTGCAAGATAAGGTTTATGGTCAAGTAAGTGATATAACTTTCTGCGATTATGCGGTCTTTTACTTGTATTTCCATTCCCTCATTTTGTTTGCCCAGACAAAATTCTTTTCCCTGAAGTACACTAGTAGTTTGGTGCCAATCTCTTGGTTGTAGCATGTGACAGGGAGCCTTTTGTAATCAATGGTTGAGGCATTTTGAAGTCAAGAAAATAAACTGCATGAGTTGTCTGCTGGTTGCAATTTTTTAAGCTATATGGATATTGTCAGCTGTCTCATGTTTTATACCTATCATACGTACTATATCTTTCACAGTGAGCCTATCGGTCTACCTCCTTTCCTTTTTTTTTTCCCCTTGCATGCAAGTTTTAGGGCAGTTTCTGATGTTGGTAGTGCAGGAGGATGAAAAATAATGAGAGACAATTAAATGAAGGGATTTGTAATCATTGTTTGATGTTGACTTGATCTATAAAGGCTATAGTGTAAGTGGGGAATGCTCTAGGAAGCAGCACCTTGACAGAGTTATTCTGCTGGAAGGATAGAACTAAAAAATGGCGCTATATTGATTATGTGAATGTGTTGGCAGCATCATCAGTCATTGTCTTGGCCATATCGATGCTTCCTTTTGTTGATTTTAGATAGGTGTAATAAGCATATGCAAGAGCGTAAGTGTCGGAGAATTGTCCAACTTTTCGCTCACTCTATAGTTAACTAAATTGTGTTGAAGTTGAAAATTATTTTTTCTGTTGACATTTAGTCTGTAGAAAGTTAATATTTGATTGAGCTTTTGTGTTAGACAAAATATTGTAGTCTACTTTGCAGAGATGTAGAGCATAAACGTTGTGCTTCTATTGATGCTTACTTTTTAATGTTTTCCACAACCTTGGTATTTTCTGACATTTACTTCCTTTGCATGGTTCTTTATTATATTTCTTGAACGGTGCATAAAATCTTGTAACACAGTCTATTTCTACTATTCCTTCTAAGCAGACCCCACTGAGTTTATCTGGAATGGAAAACTTCTTTTTCTCGATCTTGATTCGTGTAGAAATTCAGGAACTATGGTCCTAGTTGCGCAAAAGATATTTGAATTCACACAGATGTCATAGAATTGCTTAGCTTAGATCCCAAACAACACTCTTCCTTAGTGGATTATTTTGCATCTTAACAATCCCCTATGCCAAAAATAAATAAATAAATAAATAAATAAAACCCAAGAAGAAGAAGAAAAACTAGAAGGTGGCATTTTTAAATGCAAGTATTCTTTTCCTAATGCCAGTAGCCTACTTTTTTCTGATACACTGATCAATTATGTTTATTTTTTTATAATTAGCTTGATGTGGTTTTAGGTGATTATGTGTAGTTGGCCATATTACATATTGAAACAGCTGTATGTCAGAGTAGTGAATGTAAAATTTGGTATTATTGTTACGCATTAAGCTTCTGTTTGACGTCAGATGGTGGTTTATAACTGTAGCTGTCACAATAGTTTATCTTGACTTTCTTTTTTGCTTGAGAAGGACTGGTTATCTTGATTAAGTTGTATCTCAGGTGGATGCCTTCAGTTCTTATTTATATAACAGTAATTTTCTTTTGTCATGCCTTCAGTTCTTATTTATATAACAGTAATTTCCTTTTGTCAAGCATTTGGGATGATATTGTGACCTTTGACATATTCTCGTGTCTTTTTGAATTTTTTATGTTCAGTTGTGATGTTGCTTCCTCTACCATCAGTGATAAATACTTATATATTTCTTGTTTAGGGATCATGACCTTTTGGCGATCAAATTGCTGCCTTTGCTAATGTGAAGTATTTTCCTGTGGTATGTAAAATCACTTTGTCTCTCTCTTAATTTTCTTTTCTTTGGTTGTGGTGCTCCTGTCATATTTTGGTTATGAAACTGACATAAGCTTCTGTCCCTGCAACCAAAAAAAAAATTGAGTTGTACAGAGAGAAACATCTTGTTTTATTTGATTTCAAGATAACGAAGCCAGTTAGCTTAATGCACATATACACCTATAAGAAGTTTGATACTGAATTTGCTGTAGAGAGCTTGCTCATGGACCTAGTTGTGAGAGTAAATGAGACGGTATTAGTTTTGTTCAAGTATGTTGCATCTAATATGTGAGGTTGAAAATCAAGTTTTGAGTATCTTTGTTGGGATTGACAAGCAAATACGAGTTGATATTTTATCCCGCTGGAAGTCGAGGTTTTCATGAACAGCTTACTTTGTTTGCAGCACTTGTGGGGTGAACGTTTCCTTTGGTTTGAAAATGGAATTACTTTTCCTGGGATTTGTTGGAATAAGAATGTTTTATGAACTTTTGGTACCATT